TGACTTGACCATTGTGAACAACGACATTAGCGAGACGATTGCTACGCTGGAATCGGCCATCGATCGGGTGCACACCACACCACAATGGGTGCCAGTGTCTTGGCTCTACTGACAAGACAGTGAGCTGGAATGTCCCGACTGTCTCGATGGCTGCGATTGTGAGTGGGATGCATACACACAGGCGTCCAACGTGGCGCTATACTGAGGACACATACAGATACCATTAAAGTATTAAAAAGGCACAAATGCAACACAGCAAATATACATCTACAGACACACACACACACACACACATAATGAAGTGACAGACGCCTGGCGTCCACTAACATTACACACAAATATATATATATTTATACATATATATACAAAAAGTTGGGTATTATGGGAACTGCAGTCGGAACACAAAAACACATTGTAAAATCGAAAACAAAAATGGAACCGTATTTAAATTGTAATTTCTGTTATACTTATTGTTTATATTTGATGTTTTTAGTCTAAGTTGAATATTATATTGTTTGTCATTCCATCAAGTAACGCAGTGCGGCTTGTTTTTTGTTTATTTGTGTTATTGTTTTACCTAGTATTTTGTTAAGTATTCATTTGCCAGACAGCATTAAACGCTTATGTAATTTTTGCAGAGGTTAGTTATTAAGTTAACTTGAACAGCAACAAAAGCTCTCCAACAAACAGCAAACGCGAAATGTATAATGTTTGCAGTTTTATTTGCAACTACGATAGAAAGTCTTTCGAAAAGCGAGCGTAAAACGAGTTAGTAAATTATAGCAAGCTACGTAATTAAATTTAACTAACATAGAACAAAGGTAATAAACAAGACGAGCCATATGAGCAACCGCAAAGAGAAGGGGTATATAAAGTTTAGTATGATGTGAGCAATTTCAAGTGTTTCAAACAAATTAAAAACAATTAAATACACGTAATAAAACTAAAAAGAAAATGTAATACAAATACAAACATTTAATAAATATAACAAAACAAAATGTGCACGGTTTTAAATGCAATAAAAGAAAAATTAGAAATACAGAAAAATAAAATAAATAAAAATACAAAATAAATTCGTGAAAATGATTACACTTACATACACAAAGTAAAACTGAAAAAAAAACGCATTTGCGAACAAAATTGTTGAAGTTGAATTAATTTAATTAAGAACTAAAGAGAGGATGAAAATGCAATCAAACAATATAAGAGAATTAATTAATTGCCACAGCGTTATTATTAAAAACGACAATTAATTAAATAATGGCAAATTACAACATAGAGTGAGCACGAAAACCAACACACACATACACACACACACACAGACAAATACAAACACTAAAAACAACAAAGAAAATATAGCAACAGCAAATAATAAAATTTACAAAATCGTCAAGAAATGATAAATGTAATACATTTTGAACCACTATTTAGTAAAAAGGGTGCAGGTCAACGCACCGAAATAGAAACACGTAAACACGTATATATAATAAAATATACACATATATATTTTTGAGCAACTCAAACTCAGGTTGGATACATTGAAAATCAGACAAGTTGAATAAGATTAATATAGCGAGCGCTTCCTTTTAACCCACAGCCAATAAGCAATAACAGACAGCTTAATCAAGTGAACCAAATCAATGTGCCCACAATCCAAACAAACTAAAATTAAAATCGACAAAAAAAAAAGAGAAAAAGATTAAAAACTAAAACCACCCGATAGCGTCGCAGCTTTAAGTTTTTAATGCTAATGTATTATGTATACAACAAAGAAATCGTGTAGAAATTACGAAATCCAATTACAACAGCAGGAATCGAATTCATCCGTTTTTACAGGATTGCTGAGGGCACCTGCTTTTATAGAGTCGAAAACTTAAACTCACTCGTTTTTATTATTATTATTCAAGTAAAGTTTGATTCTCTTTTTTTCAATCTAAGAACACAAAAATACGATAAATAAATACGAAGAATGATAAATCGTGACTCGTGAATACTTTGCAATGTCAAGCTACTTTGTAAGTTTACCAAACTTTAAGAATCAATGCAGAGATTAGGCGCTAGCTGAAGGTCGCACGCAATTCAAAGAGTCATATGCAGAAACCGATAGAATGCTAAGCGTCTCAGGGTAACCTGCAATTAGATTTCTAAGCTACGCGGAACACTCTTACTTTAGGCCAAAATTATAGCGCCAACACAAACAGAGCAACAACATATTGGGCAAGTGAAATGCGAACACTTTAAGTCTTACATCTAGAATAAAACCAAAACTAAAAAAAAAGAAAAACAAAACAAAAAAATTAAATGCAAAGAAAAGAAAAGAAACAAAAACGTAAAGCAAAAATTAATATCAAAGCAAAACGTTTCAATTTATAATCATCCAGCACGTTCGGCAGCAATCAGCTATTCAATCCATTTTAATACCCTTTCCATTTGAGCCGGAGCTTATTTTAAGAGAACCACAAGCCTCCATTCAAACCACCCAACAGTTAATATATATGCAGCTACCCAAAAGAACTACATGAATAATTCTATGGTTTCAAGATGGTTGAACAATTTACGCATATACTAAATATGCAGAGTGCTTGTCTATTCATTTTACGTTCCGAGTGTTACAGCTGACGACAGGCAGTGATAAGAGATGGAAGAGCAGAGAAAAGAGAGAAGAGATCTGAGATCAGAGAGCAGGCAGGCAGGCAGGCAGGCAGGCAGCCAGAGAGGCAATGCAAATCATAGATGTATTCCCAATGGATATGAATCAGAAGAACCTACCCAAGAAGAAAAACATAACTACCTACTACCCACGACTAACGCAGCCGAGTGGCCAAATTAACTAAGTAGTACTTATACCTAAATACCTAGAAAATGTATGTATTGTATGTATATTTTGCAGCCCCCAGTTGGCTGGGTGTCTCACAGCACCAATGCTCAAATCAAAATCTTATATTTTACGATAATTGGGTAATATGTATGATGTTAGAAACGGGGCCCCTTTCCGGCTAGAAGTGTATAACTATAACATTGTTTTTGTTTTCCATTATTATGATGATTTATTTATTAATATATATGTATATTTTTTTCATAGCAAATGCGAGCAAATTGTAGCGATATATTAAGGATAATTTCACATTAAATTTAAGTAAAAATTTATTGTTGATATTGCGTAAATGAATGATGAAATGGTATGGAATGGATATCGATACCAAAAACATACAACCCGAGTGAATTAGAATTTTTCTCTAATTTCCTGAGTTGACAAATAAATGGCAATGAAAGGATAATGATGCATTCATAAGGATAATATTGATACTTATGATCCCCGATGTCAATATAAATGTATGTATGTAAAAGGATTGACACTATTTGAGCTATTTGAGTGAATTGTTATTAAAATATTAATGAAATAAGATCGATATGTGCAAATAGTTGAGACGTTAGTAAATATCATTTAAAATAAATGATGAAAATTACATTATATATACATAGTTTAAACGTGGGATAAAAAAATAAATAAAAATTGAAACGAAAATGGAATGCGAATTACAAATTAATAAAAAAAAAAAAATGAAATAAACACTAAAAACGAATTTTTAATATAATTTGAGTCTTCAATAAGTATATATATGTACATATGTCTGTATGTAACACAAGAATTACATTGAAGCAAAAAAAAAAAAATCTGTACTGAGTGCCGTCTGTATGCACGTATATAATTCAGAAAGTCAACCAGTTTTAATGCTGATTTTTTTCGGAAATGGCCAAGTGGAATAAAAAGAACACCCAGTTCTTCTAAGAAGCTAACTAGCTAAATTCAGTGAAATGCACCGAAAGATCGTGACAGCTGAAGTCCGGTCGTCAGTCTGTGAAGTTTCTATTTGAGAAATTTGGAAAACTTCAAATTGCGTCAGCATGTTGTCAAAACAGCTCTTAATTTAGGTCAAATTGTTGTGCATATTTTTCAAGGCAATGCGAATTTGATACTTTCGTTTTTTTCGGATTTGGTTTTTTTTATTTATTTGAGCTGGAGTGTGTTGACCGGGTAACAGAGTGACAAAAAGTGTTCAATTTCAGCAATTGCTCAGCAATTGCTTCACAATTCTATTGAAGTATTGCTCAATTTTTTTATAAACTAAACTGCAATCAGTTCCATATGCTTTACGACAACTACGACGGCCGCGCGTTGGTCAAGCCACGACTCAGGTCCCAGTTGGAGGTTCGAAGTTTCCAGGTCTCGAGCGGTTTGGTATGCCAATGTGGACGCGGCAGACGTGATCGGAAACATTCATAAGCGGAAAAGCTGTGGGGGAGCTAGCACCAGCACCACTCCATAGATACATACATAAATAATATGTATGCATTCATAGTCAATGTAGACATTTGGACATTTATGTCATGTGCTATTACCGTTTTTGCGCCCCACTGCGCGAGAAGGGCGAGAGCAGGGGCAGGGACAGGGGCAGGGGCAGTCAGGCGACCAGAACATCTGCCCGACAGTCATTGAACTGCAGCTGCAGCACAGTGGTCTAAGTAAAGTAAAATATAGTAATTTTTATTTCAGATGAAATATTTATTAATTATGGCTAAAAAAAGAAGTTAAATTATAATATTTAAATAAAATATAATTAAAAGAAAATGATAAATTTATAGTTAGCAACTATAGTTTTTCTATAGTTAATATATACAACTAATAATATAAAATAATAATAATAATTATTATTAGAATAAACCATACAATATTTTAGATTTAATTTTTATTTAGAAATGCATGAGTAAATTATTTTATTTTTTTTTTAATATTTTAGAGTTCAGTTCTAAAAACTTTATACTGTAACCATTTTCTACTAAATACAATAATCTTTGCCAATGTTATATTAATTGAAATCTTCCCATGGCTAACGATTCTACACCACTGTGCGCTGGAGCGTCGCCGCTCAGCTTATTCTCTCCGAAGCGATCGAGTTTTGGTAGCTGCTGACTGACTGACTGGCTGGCTGGTTGACTTGCTGGTAGACTGGTGGCTGCTGGCTGGCTGGCTGAGCAGCAGGGCAGCCAGTTTCAGTTTTGCTTCGAGTCTGCGCGGTTGAGGTTGTGTCCGTTGACACGGCTCGTTTTCGAGGTGTACTCGTAAGTGCTTGCTTGGAGAATCGATTCCGGCTTTTTAATTGCAATTGGAAGGCACGTGCATGTGTGTGTGTGTCAGGCTGAGTGAGTGCGCTTCTGATGTAGTCGTGCTTCCCTCTCTCCCTCTCTCTCACTGTATGAGTAGCCGGAATTTAAGTGTGCTATTGCTGAAACCTAAAAAAAAATCAGTGCGCGCAAATATAACAACTATTAAAAACAAGTACTCGACTTAAGATTAATTGAAATTTGTCTATACCGCCGACCGTCTTATCAAATTCCGGAAAGATCAGTAACGGCGCCTTTGGCCGTACGTTTTTTTTTTTAGAATCTGTTGCGTAGCCTTCAGAATTAAGATCGCGCTCTGGGCTGACCTTTAACATCAGCCGTATTTATGTACAGAACGCTTATATGAGTGTTTAACGATGGCAAACGCGCCTTGTGCATTGGCCCCTGCTGTCAGTTAGCCGTGCGATAAGGCAAACCAGTAGCAAACAAGTCGTCGTCGCTGTCGACCGGCCAATCGGCTCCAGTTGCCTCCGTGTGCTCCAGCTACATATGTGTGTACAAAAGTCTAAGTCAAAATCTCTCAGCTAGCTGAGTGCGTGTCAAAGCTTATCGAAATATGTGTGTGTATGTGTGTGTTTGTGGAGGAGCTTCGGCTGCCAAATTCTGTTTCGTGAATGCTTGTGTGCAGCCAAAATTGGAATTGAACAAAGTTGTCAAAAACAGCATATGATCTAAGCTCACAATATGTATGTTAAACGCTTCTCAAGGAAAACCTAGATGTGTTTAAATATGTGTAAATACATACATACACACACGCATATACATAATATGTACATATATAACTATAAACTGCAGACCTTATGCGTGCCCTTCGTGCGATCGCCTTCTCCTCGTCCCGCTACCCTCTGCCAATGCAGACATGGCCACAAAAGACCCCATAAATGCCGCACATAAAGAATCTTCAATTGAGCGGCTGACTCGCTGTTGGCTGATGACTCCGTCTCGCCGATCTGGTTAACTGCCTCGGCGGCAGAGTCGTCAAACGTCGGAGTCGGACGCAATCGTCAACATTGTGTGCGCGCATTGAATTTTTGATTCATTCGAGCGACTGCGTCCCGCCTCCGTCGCATCTGTGAGTGTCCGTCTTTTGGTTTTCGATTTCGGTTTCGGTTTCGGTCTCGGTCTCGGTTTGGCTTTTTGGTCATTTTGCACAAGGTTATGCGCATGCTGCCTTTGTATGCCTACCATAGCATACCCATACCCAAAATATCATTATATCATAAATACAAACGTGATGAAGACTGCGAATTCGCAATGCTGTTGACTCTTAAGCTCTTCACAATGGCCAACGAGTGTCGGTAATCGATACGGTGTCACCAAAGAAAAGAGACAAGTCTGCACTAGGGGTAGCCAGGCATCGTTAGATCCACTATGGACTATGGAATAAGCAAATATTTACATAAATCAATCATCTTTATAACCTCATTTAAACATCTCACATATTAGTAAGAAATTAGCAACGAAATCGTTTCATGGAAACCGGTTCAAGATCTAATTTAACATTTATTTAAAAATATTTGCCTAAGCGATTATTATTATTATTGATTGACATTGTAATTAGAGGATCTCAAACTGAAACTATGAACCAAGATAATAATAAAATTTTAATGAAAATGATAGAGATGAAGTTTGGAATTCGCAAAACTATATCTCTAGTATTAGTGATCCTTTTTTCTTATATAAACAAAATAATAAACTAAAGTTCTATAGTCTCTAATTCTAAATAATTTTTAGCTATATTACAAATTATAAAATAATAATATAATTATTTTAAATTATTTTAAATCTTAAAATCCCTAATCTTAGTTATGTTTTCTATTGTCCAGATTTATAATCTCAAACATTAAATTGTAAGTTGAATTATCTTTTAATTTTTTTTTTTTTTTTTTTTCAACAAATTCGACTGTGTTTAGTAATCTGTATTAAGTATAGTCCTTCATGAGACTATAATTACATACATACATAATACAGACTCCTAATCTCCATTCTCATTAATCATTAATATTATTATTATTTTTTCAAATTAATTTTTTACTATAGTTATTTATATTTATTTTTTAAAGTATAACTCAGTTAAAAACTGTTTATATATGTTTGGCGATCTCCATTTGGGATCTTACGTCATATTTTTGTTAAAAAAGCTGGTAATGAAATGGTTCTGCTGTAGCTGTTTTTGAATTCCAGTTTATAGAAAATTAGACCAAAATAAAATTAGAAATCGTGTCATTAAACCTAACGCATGGAGTTCTAATAGATCAAAACGATAAACACGCCCAATGACAATACGATTTAGTGCAATTAAATGGCACATTGTACACATATTTTTAGTAGTTGTCGTAATTGCGGTTTTATCTAAACAGACGGCAGCGAGGCCATGCTGAACTTAGCATTTGTTTTGTAATCATATTAAAAATGCTGATGAATTTATACAATTTATACAAGTAAATAATACTACATAGTTAGGTAATGCTACTAAAGCAACAACAACAACAATATGTATATTCATTTATTTCCAGTCAACTTATTTGCTTTGCTGCTGATCGATTCCAGTCTCTCTGATCTCTGATCAGAAATCTCTGTCAGTTGTATTTTGCCTATCATAGTTTTACATGCTGATCGATGGCGTGTGCTGGTGGGGTTAGGGTATTCTTGGGTTCGTGTTAGCTGCCTGTTGTGGTTGCGGGTGCACAGGTGCAGCTGTCGACTGCACAGAGTGTGTTGTCCCCTACAGTTTATGGTTCGCTAACAAAGCTCACATTTTGACCGTCATCTTTGTCGGTCGCTTGGCAAATGTTGCGCCTCAGCGCGCTCAGGTGTGACTCATATAGACATGGCTAACACCCGATACTGACACCGAGTGTTATGGCTAACCTTTTTATTTTGACCGGTTCAACACGTCTGCTGGGTTTGTTGTGGTTGTTGCTGCCACTGCCACAGCCACTGTTGCTGCTGCTGCTGTTGTTGTTTTTGTTTTTCTTGCTGTTGGTGTTGCTGCTGCTGCTGCTATTGATAACGTCGGTAATTCTAAGCTGCTTTTGACGAGTTTGCGCAACAAGTTGCAATATTGTTGGCATTTGCCGATTTAGCTTTGGCTGAGCTGTGCCAGTTTTTGATGTTGTTGTGGTTGTTGATGTTGTTGTCGTTGTCGTTGTCGTAGTTGCTGTGGTGCGGCTTCCTCGTCCCAGACAAGAGATCGACAAACATACAACCGGTTTAAAGTGGTGCACCAAATCGTTATAAAATCTTACAAAGTATATAAAAAACCATCTTGAGGAAATAATTTGCATTTGAGGAGGGAGAGAGAGAGAGAGACGTAGAGAGGAAGAGAGAGACGGCGACAACAAACACCATCTCTGGCTGATCCAATTTGTATATCTCTATAGCGTTGTGTGTTTCGTGGCTAATTGCAGCGACAGCCACTTAAGTGGCTCATCTAGTAGCTGCAGGCCTCACCTTGCCTCGGTTCAAGTTCAACTCAGTTACCGGTTCACGGCCAATTAGAGCTCGAAGCTCTGAAGAAGCTGCCGGACAGAGTCAGTGCGCATAAATTATCGTCGTCTGTGGACGATACATTTTAGTAGAAAAACAAATAATAAATATTTTAACGACCGCAAACTAGTTAGTAAACGTTAAGTTATGAGAGCTACAAAAACTACTTTCAACTGACCCGCTTACGTCCCTCTACACTTGCAGTCACCGTTGCATGCCGACCGAGAAACAGCTGAGCGATGAGCCCGAGCCTGAGCCCGCGGCGGGGCCTCTTCAGGCTCTGGCTGCTGACCCTGGGGCTCCTCGTGCTGGCGGCCAGTGGAAGCCGCGAGTCCCAGCTGCGCATTGGCAAAGCGATTAATATATTCCTACGGTACGGCTACCTGGGCATATCGATGCGCGTGATACCCTTGAACGAAAGTTCCGAAAGCGAGCGATGGATATTTAAGGAGCCGACTCGCAATATATACAAGGTGGGTATTTGTTCAAGATTTCATATATGTAAGAATCAATTCGAACCAGAAATAAGAATTGTTTTATTATTACTTCTTGTTTTATTGATAGTTGACAAGCACGCTAACACAAAGTTCGCCAGCTTGTCTCGTGTCTTAGAGTTAAAAATTCTTTCGTTAAATGGATTTCAAAATCAAAGAAGCTAAGCCCCATAAATTTCCATGTCATTCCAAGAAACCTATAATTAAGTTTATAGAAAAAGAAGAGCAATAAAAAAAAAAAATATTTGCTATTTCCGGAATGGAAGATCAATTTGCATTTTGGTTAATAAATATTAGTGTATTATTATAAAAATCTATGTTAAGTATATGCATCTCATTTTATATTTAAATATTAATGCGTGTTTTATCATTTCAGAATATGAGTGAGCTGTCAGAGAGTCAGGAGTATACGGCGCCTGGCATATTCCATGGCGACTTTCACATGGAGTTCTGCGAGAATCGTCGCCAACTATTCCAGGCGTATTTCCGCGACTTTACCATTGAGAGTTTGGACAAGCCCTGGGAGGCGTTCACGGGCGGCTGGTTCCCAGATAATGCGGCCAAGAAGCTGGGTATCAACACGTCCTTCATTGTGGGCGACTACTCCTATGTGCTGGTTCGCGTCGTTCGTTTCCGCGAAACGGGGAAACTTAATTCCGAGATACCCGTCAATCAGCCGCTGGAATCTGATGTGCAAGCGCGCGTCCAACAGGTGCAGGTGGGCAATGTGTCATCGGCTGTGCGATTTATGGAGTCATTCGGCACGCACTACGTCAACTCCTACACGACTGGCAATTCGCTCTACCAGGTGTTCGTGTACAGTCGCAAGAACTACAAAATGATCAAGGAGCGCATCAAGAGCAAAGGCCTCAACGGCCTCTCCAAACTTGACTTGTACAACTACTTTGCGCCGTGGTTCGCTGAGCACCTCGGCCAGATACGCTCGGCCAGTGCCAACGCCACAGTCGAGCGCTGGGCCCGCCGCAAGCTGCAATACGAGTACTACGTGGTCAAGTATGTGACCCTGCTCAAGTTGCATGGGAACAGCACGCTGCTGAGGTCGCTGGACAGCCTGCTGGGCAACGATGCGATCCTGCAGCTGGACCTGAAGGCAGTGAACGTTGTGTTCAGGGATCATCCGCAGAAGCAGAGCTGGTTCCACGAAGTGCTCGACAACAACATGAAACTGTGGGAGCTCAACCTGCCACTCAATCACCCAAATCGATAGGCCGAATCGGACCAGCGATTAGTTACTTTAAAGTTCCTCAATGCATGTTGTGCACGAAGATGGCGCCCAGACGCTGCTAACGGCATATATAGACGCACACTTATAAACATATACATACATATACGTGCATAGTTGTAGTTAAGTTCTCTAGTGCGTAATTACTGTTCTGCCTGTGATAGCTTTTAGATAGTTTAATGAAACCCTTGTAACTGTGTTTTCAGCACGGTGCGTAGGTAATAGATCTGCAGTAAAGCAGTAAGCATTTTACATATGAAAAACGGCATTTCATTTGATATCATGGGGGCAAATTTGAAATGAATCGTGAAAATTGTGAATTCTATTTAATTTAATTTTTTAACGAACAGTTGTGGAGCAATTGCTCAATAGTTAACTGGTTTGTAACATCGCTAACAGTTTGGGACACTGAAAAGTGTATATATTTGACTCAACTCAAAACATCTTAATAGTTTGAGTGTTATTGTATCAATGATGCGTTATCTTTGTCAAGGCAGTTGTTAAACAATATATGTGGTTCAGAACTTCGCTAACAGTTTGAGGTGAACGATATCGTTAGTTGGTTAGTTTTCGGAGTTAAAGAATCATGTGCCGAAAACTGTTCTCAGCCAACGGCTCCCAAACTGTAATAGTATGTTTCAGAACCACACACCTAATCTCACCCATGTTTATTTGGTGCGTGTCTTTGCTAACTAAGCCTGAATTCGAATTTCGAATAAAATGTTGTTTTTGTTTTGTTTAGAAATCCGTTTTTCATATGTTGTTTGGAAATTTGTAGAAAATGAATACTATAATTTGTAATGCTTAAACAAATATACGTTAAACAAGTAAATGCAAAAATATTTTAGTAAGTAGAATTTTTTTTATTTTTAAAAATGTTTGCTATGCTGAAAATTAAGCCTAGTATGCATTAATAAAAGTATATGAAAATAATAATGTAAATAAAATAAAATGTTAGATTAAGCAAATTTCTAGATAAGTGCATTTAGGAGTTGAAATCCTAAACCTATTGCTGCCAATCGAACAGATGGAATAGAAGTTAGCCAATACAGTTATCAAGGTCTGGAATGCAGCAGTTGGCAAAGAGCTGAGGGCTGGATTGCTAGCGGCAGGCAAAGGCAATCAGTCAGCTGGCTACGCATGTGAATATGATGGTGATTGGAATGGGGATGGGGATGGGGATGGGACAGGAGCAGGGAATGGGTCTAGGGATGGAGACGGAGATGGCATTGCTGCGACGGCGAATACGCTGTTGATAAACTCATCCATCTCCAATCCACTTACGAGCGCAAATATTTACACAATTTACTCGAAAACGGAGGTATGAGCATATAATATTTCCAAAAACGATGGCAAACACACACACACACAGTCATGCACACACATATGCATATACATATATACAACTATGGCCGAATGTTTGGCAGTTAGGCACAACAGCAACAGCAACAGCAACAGCAACAAACCTCAATCATTAGACAGACACATTTCGGGCATTGCAAATCAATGATGATGATTCGGGAAAGGCGCATAGTTCGGCACATGAATGAAATCCGAGGCCGTCCTACTCGAGCATGGAAAATGCTCTATACTCTGCATGTGAGTGTGACTATGGGTGTGTGGGAGTGTGAGTATGTGTGTGTGTGTATGTAAAGTTCTAAAAGTGAGCGAGGAGCAAGCAAATCAACTATGTACATAATACATATAAAGTATGTGGGAATCGTTATTGTGTATGACAGGAGTATGGGGTGGTGCACCCTATACAACCCGGCACACATATACATATATACATATGTATATATATGTATTAGCAGCGATCGGAGGCAGCTTAAATATAATGGCTGCCTGCCAGCATTTTCTGTCTGCGCTTCCATCAAACTGGTCAGCCAAATGTCCGAGCAACTACTCAACCAAATTGAAAATGGCCATTGGCTTGGGGTGCTCGAATCGGCTTTGGCATTGGAATTAGAGCCGGGTCGCCATGCACTGGCTTGATTGGTGGTCAATGCCAAACATCAATAATAATTCCATAAATATAATTTGGGAGAGCCAGCCGCAGTCACTTTGATTGAGCTCTTAATTGCACTGCATTGTCAAGACTCACATGCTTCTGGGCTTGCTTTCAGCTTAAAGCTATTTCATTTATTAAAGTGGAATGAGAATGAATTTCTTGTCATCTAAAGCCAAGCATTAACATTATTAAAATTTTAACTTGATTTAAGCTAAAAGAATTTAAGCAACTGGGAATACTTTCATGGAAAGTTTTTACTTCCCAATCGCTAACACTTGATAGTATTGGATTTTTTTTTAAAATATATAAATATACAATATATACCATATATACTAATCGAATGGATGTTTATTAAATGACAATATTTAGTTTACCAATCAAATTTTAGTTTACCATTCAATATATATAGGGATGTTTAATTAGTAAAACTTACATTTAATGATTTATATTTCTTTATAAAAAATATATGTATGTATTACATAAATTTCTTAATTATTCATTCATTCATTCACTTTCTTAGAATATCATTAATTTTGATTGTTTATTTGTTTTTGGGCTTATGTAGTCATCCGTAATCATCTACAAAGTTATTCAAGATGTTAGAGTTAGTCCTTCATCCTTGTTTAGCTAAGGACTAAAGACGTTCGCTCACTTCCGTCCTCCCTAACATTATGCTGGTGCCTAAGCTATGCTTGTAAAACTATTACAAGACAAATGTTTTGTCAAAGAGTCAAGCCAATGTGAAAACACGGCGTAGATTAAGGCGCAAGAAAATTGAAAATGGGAAACTGGGAAAATCCTGCACACAAGCCGTAGCTGTAGCTGAAAATACGTTGCAAAAGTCAAAAGTCCGGCTTATGCTTAAGCGCAATTAGCGTTAATTGCGCTGGACCACAGGAACAACAAGACGAAGAACAACAGCGTCAACAATAAGCACTATGGGAAAAGCAAAGGCAACAGCAACGACAAAAACAACAACACGGATTCCCACAGTCAACAACTGAGCTGCATAAGGCCACATTCTGCCAGCAGCCAGCAGCCAGGACGTGCCGCAGCCGCCGCTGCTGCTGCTGCTGCCTTAGCACACACGCAACATTGCGGCCACTTGAAGTTTAATTTAATTTTTACTTGCGGCCGCCGCAGCGTCGCTTGTTTCAAGTGCCAGCGCCCAGGGATTGGCTGTCGATTGGTGCGCCAGTCGTTCTATTTTTGGGTGGTTGGGTGGTCATAGCTTGCAACGACACCATAATCATCGTCATCATCAACATCATCATCGACAACGCCAACGGAGCGCCATCGCAATCGCTATCGACGTTCGTCAAGCTCGTGTCGCAACTTGCGATGATTGATGGTGCGTAATTTGGAAAATTAGAAGCACATGAAAGGACAGAGAACTCCGAGCAGGTCGAGACAGTCGAGCTGGCTGAGCTGCCTGAGCTGGCTGAGCTGGCTGAGCTGGCCGAGCTGTGGGAAAGGGGTGGCTCTGGCTTTTTGGGCCATCGAAAGCGAGGCGCACCGCCCTTGCTAATGTTGTTGGCACAACAAGGTGTGTCCTGGCTGGTCGGCTCGATTGCCGCGTGTCCTGGCGCGTGCAGCCCAACAAAGTTGCGCGTGGTTATTAGAAAACAATTTAATTAAATATTCACTTGAAACCGAAAGGCAGCACTGGCAAAAACTCCATCCATCCTTTGCGGCGCTTTCTCATCATAAAGAGCTCTAACAATGCCCATCAATATTAAACGATGTCCATTTAGACCGATTCCGTTCACGTACTCGTCTCTGTGCTCGTTCTCGTTCTCGTTCTCGTCCTCGTCCCTTTGCCACTGCCATTGGTCCGTGAGGTAATGTGAGAAAGTTTTTGTTTTTTGTTTTTATTTCGTGGGTGGGTTTAAATTAAGAATTTTGCCTGAGCCACAGACCCTGACAGCGAGGCAACGCCTTTGATCCAGTTTACAGCCTACATTTTTTATGGAGGCACTGCGTCAGTCTGTTCCCAGCAGCTTTAAAGAATTGTTAAATAGGTTATTGCACAGGGCGTGAAATGTAATGAGATTATATTATACGTTTTATACTTTTATGATACATATTAAATTTGTATTTTCCATATATTTAGTAACTTTTCATCTTGTTAGTTATCACAAAAGGGTTTGAATTCGTATAATCAAAATGTCACAAATAGTTAAAATTTATAATGATTACCTCAATTCCTCAGTGGTATCCCAACAGATGTACATAAAAAACAAAGAAAATTATTTAACCATATATAATTTGTGTTTTATATATAATAGAATCATATTATAACGACTGTAGCCATACAAGTTTGGGGAAGCCAAAATGTTTCTTGCAAAAAAATTGCAAAAATCACTAGAAAACACAAACATTTATTCAATAAATTAATGAATGTGAATATAAAATAAAATGAAATGATTTGAATCATTGTATTGTGCATAGTCTTTTATTATATTCAATCTCATAAATTAATATTTAATAATATTTATAAAATACGCTATTTGTTTTACAAACAAGCTATTGAGTTCGTTTCCAATGCAAAATGTTACTAAAGCCAGTCTTAAAGCAGTGAAAACTCATTATAGTCCAATAGACACTTCGATTGGCGCAGGAGGCGACTTTGTATGCCAGACTGCACAGCCGGAGTACAACACATGACTAGCTGGTTGGGAGCGGACACGGGCACGGGCACCGGCACTGGCACTGGATTTGGTAGCACCCGCACACCCAGCTGAGAAGTCATTGCAGGACAATGGAAAAGTCGTTGCCTGTCTAATTGCATCATCGTAGTTTTCGGAGTTACGGCCACGCGTCTGCCGCGTCTCACCTGCAATTAAACTGTCACATTAGGAACACGCAGCCGGAGTACTCCAAATGCAAAGCGATGACACTGCCCAAAAAGCGATTCAAAATACATCCGGTGCGGTGCGGGGTGGCGCAATGCACAGGGGGAGAGACGGTTATTGGTCACGTGGCGGGTGCGGCAACTGCGTGAGCTGCTGAAAGTTGGGCTTCTGGAAGGTAGGAAGGCAGGAAGAGAGGGCAGGCAACAGGAGCAGCCCTTGTAAATGGCAAAAGTTTTGCTTTGGGATTAGCCTCGGCTCAGAGCGAGTCGTGGATGTGAATGCTGGTGGTTTCTCTCGTATTGCCACTGCCATTGCCATAGCCATAGCCATTGTGTTTGTTTACAGTTACATTTGCGCCCGGCAAGCCAACTAATGAAAGCAAATCTGCGCATTAATT